TAAACCCAGCAGAAAATGGGATTTTGGTCTTTGAGGAATTGAGAAGAGGACATAAAACATTTTCTCCAAATATTGTGCATTACAGAGCTTTTTGATTTTTGCTCACCAGTTCAACTTTCCTTTACTTAAAGATGTTCTTCTGTTCCTGCCTCTAATCCCTGGCAACCACTGGTCTTTTTATTGTCTGCATAGTTTTCCTCTTCCAGAATGTCCTATCTTGGGTGTCAAACAGAATGCAGCCTTTCCAGATTAGCTTCTTTCGCTTTGAAGTACGCATGTAGGGCCCCTAGGTAGCTCAGTGGATTAACCATCTGCCTTCAGCTCAGCTCATCATCCCAGAGGCCTGAGATCGAGTCCCAGGTAGGGGGGTGGGGAATCTCTGCTCAGCAGGAAGCCTGCTTCTCACTTCCCTCTGCCTGCTGCTCCCTGTGCTTGCTTGTGCTTGCTCTCTCTGTCAAATAAACAAATAAAATCTTAAAAAAAAAAAAAGAGGAAAATACACCCATACATTTCTCCATGTCTTTCCATGGCTTGATAGCTCACTTCTTTTCAGCACTGAATAAGATTCCCTTGTGTGGCTGTACCATATTTTACTTACCCTTTCTTCTACTGCAGGATGTCTTGGTTGCTTTCATGTTTTGGCAATTATGAATAAAGGTGCTATAAACATTTGTGTGTTGATTTCAAATCTTTTTGATAAATACTCAGAAGTGGGATTACTGGATCATATGGTAGTTCTATTTTATACTTTTTGAAGAACTTCTATACTGTTTCCATGGTTACAGCATTGTGCATTGCCTCCAACAGTGACCAACTGTTCCCATCTCTTCACATCCTCAACCACACCTGCATTTTGTGTTTTTGAAAATAGCATTCAATTTTTTTTTTATCTTTAAAGTATGGATGGTACCAGGGAATTTATTGTAAACGTAGAGACAAATACATTGAGATAGTCATCATTAAAAAGGAACTAGAAAATTACACATTTAAAGTATATGCTTTTTTTCTGCCACCTTCAATTTGTGGCTAGTACCAACATTTTATTTTATATTTTATTTTTAAACTATTTAAATTCAATTAATTAACATATAATTATTATTAGTTTCAGAGGTACAGGTCAGTGATTCATCAGTCTTATATAACACCCAGTGCTCATTACATCATGTGGCTTCTTTGATGCCTGTCACCCAGTTACCCCATCTCTCCACCCCACTCCCCTCCAGCAACCCTCAGTTTGTTTTCTATGATTATGAGTCTCTTATGGTTTGTCTCCCTCTCTGGCTTCATCTTGTTTTATCTTTTCCTCTCTTCCCTGATTATTCTTTGCCTTGTTTCTTATATTCCTCATATCAGTGAGATCATAAGATAATTGTCTTTCTCTGATTGACTTATTTCATTTAGCATAATACCTTCTAGTTCCAACCATGTTGTTGCAAATGGCAAGATTTCAAATTTTTTTTTCTTCAAAGATTTATTTTTTTATTTGACAGACAGAGATCACAAGTAGGCAGAGAGGCAGGCAGAGAGAGAGGAAGAAGCAGGCTCCCTGCTGAGCAGAAAGCCTGATGCAGGGCTTGATCCCAGGACCCTGAGATAATGACCTGAGCCGAAGGCAGAGGTATAACCCACTGAGCCACCCAGGTGCCCCAAGATTTCAAATTTTTTGATGGCTGTGTAATATTCCATTGTTTATATGGTCAATAGGTTTAAGTTTTGATTTCTTTTCTTTTTGATTTCTTTTTATCTATGTTTTGATTACTGATATATTTGAACTTATTTCTAATATTTTGATTTTGCTCCATATGCTTTTGCTTCTTTCTTCTCTTTCCTTTTTTGTTGCACTTTTAGAATTTTCTCTTTTTTTTCTGCTGATTTGGGAAAAGGAAAGTACCTTTCTGTTTCATTGACAATATCCTCAAACTGTTTGTGTGTGTACATGTGCAAGTGTGTACATTTTTTCTCTGTCTAATTTTATTCTGTAATATGTTTTCCTTGTATATACCGTGACTTCTCCTTGGGTGTGCTTTTTCTCCTGCTGATTTAGTATATTTAGAAAACCTCAGTGCCTGATTGTATACATATCTCTATATCAGGACAGAATTTCAGAAAGAGTTTATCAAATGAGCTGATAAACTCCAGTTTTAATGCACATTAAGAAAAACATAGAAAATCTTCCAACACAATAATCAGAACATGAATTCTCTTCATTCTTCTTCAAGCCCTTTGTCCCTGACTTTCCTCCACATGGAGTAATTTTCACCTGCCAGCCTCAGGGCTTATTCCTTGATTTCCTCCTAGTCTCTGTTCCTAGAAAAACATGTGCTCATATGAGGAATGCTTATAAAGTTTATTGTAGTGTAGTATTTCCTAGGTTAAGTAAGTTGTCTTAGCCTTTATTCAATAGAGGAAAGGATGTATAAATGGAAGTATATCCTCAATATGGAATGTAAAGGAACAAAGGATGTATATGGGTTAATATAATAAGACCTACAAGATTTACTATTGAGGTTATAAACAAGAAAGGTATACCCAAATATATATTTATATTTTAAAAAAGTCTAAATAAAATGCTGTATATTTTCTGTTGATTCAAATCTAGTAAAACATAGTAAAACATCTGGAAGCATCAACCCCAAATTGCCAAGATGGACAAAGAAATAAGGTAATAAGTGATGAAAGGGTCAGAATTGAGAGTGATAGTCAAAAAGGATTTTACTCTATGGGTAATGTTTTATTACTTTTAATAATTCACATATTCACAAATTTCTCCTATTGTAAAAGTAATGAGAATCATAAAGGCCATCAAAAAGGTTCATCTGTATTCTCCTCCCTTCTTGTCACCAACAAGAGGAAAGGAGAGATAACCACCTTTTTCACAACATTATGTCCATCGAACTAAACTATACATATTTCTCTGGGGTCACATAGTTTTTATTTTTCACTTCACTTAGTGTCCTATTCTTTGACTCTATTATAATTATATATATTTTTGTCTTCCCCTGTAGATGGTAAACTAATATGTGTTCCTCTTTTGTATATTTTATTTATATATATATTGTTTTAATTTTATTTCTGGTTAGTTAACATACAACGTTATATTAGTTTCAGGTGTATATATAGTGATGCAAAACTTCCACAGATCACCCGTGCTCATCAGGAAAAGGGCACTCCTTCATCCCCTCACCTATTGAACCCATCTCCCAACCCTATCCATCTGGTAACCATCAGTTAGTTCTGTTTAATTGAGTTGTATAATTGATTTATTTTTGTCTTATTTTTCCCCCTTGCTTGTTTGGTTTGTTTCTTTAATTCCACTAGAGTGACATCACATGGTAGTTGTCTTTCTCTGACTGACTTATTTCCCTCAGAGTTATATTCTCTAGCTCCATCCATGCCATTGCAAATGGCAGAATTTCATTTTTTATAGCTGAAGAATATTCTATTACACTTTATATATTCTGAGCATCTAGGAAATTACTCCTTTGAAAATGCTCCATGAATATTTGTTGATTTCTTTTGAACTCAGGTAAAGAAATAAAATAAATAGCACAAGATGAAATTTACCAAATTATTTTCTGATCTCAATCTCCATGCAATTCAATTTTAAAACTAGCATTTGGTTTACCTGTAATTCCCACTCAAATTAAGCAGTTATCTTCTTTTCTGACCATCTGCATTTCCTTCACCAAGAACACTGGAATGAATGGGTCTGGGGATTGCTGAGTGGCTCCTTCTAAGTGGTCTTTGCCACCAGCTTCATCCTCTAGGGGGCACTATAGCCCTCAGGAGAAACAGACCGTGTTGGTTGGAAGGTTGAATAGTTACAGAGAACAGAAATCATGTGAGCCAGTCCACTTATAGATAACAGTGCACTTATAGATAGGGAAGAGAGAGGACAGGGTTTTTGTTTTTGTTTTTGTTTTTGTTTTTGTTTTTGTTTTTGTTTTGGTAAAAACCCTCTGAGGTTTTCAGTTATGCCATTGCATATCAAGTTCAGACATCTGGAGGCCATGTCTCTAGAAACCCATTACGCAGATAATTCTTCACAGGTACCAGGATAGGAATATTTCTGGGCATTGTGAGTATGGAAACTCAACAGAAAATATTCCATTTTCTGCTGTCAATTGTTATGAATAAAATCAGCCAAATTTACTGGCCTTGAAACTATTTCAATACCCACATATCCTACCTTCTCATGTGCTGAGAGTGGAGGGAAACAAAAATGAAGGGAAGAGAGGAAACAATAAGGAACAAAAAGAAAAGGAAAGGGAGAGGACAATATTGACTTTGGCCAGCAACGTGGGGCTGTTCAAACTGTGCTCTGTGGGTGAGCATGGTGTCTAGCAGTAGCACAGGAGAATTGGAGAGGTGGAAATTATATCAGAGAGGACATTAAGTACCACATCCTATCTTTCACTGACCACATTCTGGTAGGAATCATTTTCTTTACAGGTGGTGACTGTCTGTCTTTGTTTCTAGAACTCTTTTGATAAATTGTATTTACTTCTGCAATACTGAGTGGATGCTATCAGATAGTTTTCCTTTATCAGCATTTTTACATAACTGAATGCTCACATTGTCTGTCAAACTATGCAGTTTGAGGAATGGAGTCATTCTTCCCTATGATTTTTCAAGGTTCTGGTAATCCCATAGGATCTGCATCTTCTAGAAGAATCATTCACCTTTCTTCAGAAACTAACCCGCACTTTTCTTACATAAAGTGTTTTAAGAAAAAAAAAAACCTTACATACTCCTATATTGGAAATATTCCTCCTACCTGCCTGCACTGCCCGCAAGCACAGTTTGGGAGAGATTCCGGTGCAGTGTTATTGGGCCACTGTGGGTGGAGTCTCAAGTTCTATGAATGACAGGGCTGAGGTGCGATTGGTGCTCAGTGATTCTGGTGGGAAGGATTGACTCTAAGAACACAATTCCTCTGGACCCAAGACTACACTCTACACAGTAGGGGTGAAGGCACCTTATTAACTAGACAAGGTATCATGAGGACACCCTGGGGAGCTCTGCTGGGAATCCTGTGGCTCCAGATTTGTTGTGAGTGGGGACGTTCCAGAAGGGGCTGGGGAGTGGTCCACAACCCACAGTGATGGGAGGAGCTGACACTGAGCTCCTAGAGTCCTATATCCTCAGGGGTGTGTCTTAGGATATTTTACACATTTTCAAACTGCATCAGTGACTCTCCAGTGACATCATTTGTGTTTGTTTCCTTCTTTCCACACAGGGGTGAGAGGGATGACGGTGGAGCAGAGCCCTTCAGTCCTGAGCCTCCAGGAGGGAGCCAGCTCTATTCTGAAGTGCAATTTTTCTAGCAGTCCATACAGTGTGCAGTGGTTCCGACAGCACCCCAAGGGCAGCAGCCTCATCCGGCTGTTTTACATAGCTTCAGGGATGCAGCACAGTGGGAGGTTAAACTGCACAGTGAATACTAAGGAGCAGTCCAGCACCCTCCACATCACGGCTTCCCAACTGGAAGACTCAGCCACCTACCTGTGTGCTGTGGAGGCACAGTGCTCTCTGGTGATCTGCAGCCTGCACCCAAACTGCAGCTGGGCCTGCAGACCCGCCCTTCCTCGAGGCAGGCCCTTGTTCCCATGCAGCCTTTGGACATTTTCAGATTTATGTAACATTGTCTTTTCCCTCCTAAAATTAAACCTACCAGTGCTCTCATTTCACTTGTTTTTCTTGCTCTTTTTCTTCCAAAAAGCTCTTTGCAGGTAAAAAAAGCTCTACCATGGAACCTTTGGAGCAAGTGACAGAGATGCCCATATCCAGTACCCTGGGAAGACAGATGTCCTTGCGGCTACCATATAAATTATATATAAATTACTTAAATGGAAAACCCTCAAAAAATAAATGGTCATGAACAAACAAAAGACTTGACATAATTTTTATGTTTCCTGTAGGTTATTTTTCAGTGAAATGTAAAGAGACCATGTAGAATGTTTTTACAAGTCTATTCAGCTTTTTTTTTTTACAACTGGAAATAGAAATGTAATAAAATAATTCCTTAGAGGGTCACTCACTCTACTTATCTTATTACATTTATTTTCTTTATCAGTAAGATAAGACCCTATAAATAAGTACTTTCATTTTATGCATGAATAAAGGGAGGATTTTAGAGCACAAGTGACTTGGTGGAACTCATATTATTCCACAGTTGGTGAATCTGAGATGACACAAATGCTTATCCTCTGAGTACCGATACAGAAGACCCTACAGAATCACAAAATCTCAATGATTTCTATTGATCAATTTGTACAATATGTTATCACACCGCTGACAGAAATAGCCATTTAAGTCATTTCTAAATAGCACCTTTTGTGGTCAAGCTCATGGAAATATTCATTCTGTTCCATGAATATCACTGCTCTTCCTTTCATTTTGAATGACTCTTTTTTCATGATCTTGCAGCATCATTCCCAGTTTGGAAAAGGGAGCAGAAATCCTCCAGGACAACAATAAAAGAACCCTTCTCATTGTCGCCATGGACAAAGACTGTTGACCCCAACCCCAAAGTTGAAACTTGCATGTGGAAGATTCCAGCACATACTGAGTTCCAGCCTGCATTGATTTTTATGTTGATGAAAGGGCATTGATAGGGAGGCTTGTGCCCCTGAAAATTCAGATGAAGGTAAGTGGTCAGACTACTAGAAGCTAGGAGCAGAGTCAGCTTCTGGATCATGGGACCTGCGCAGTTACACAGCCCCCGACTCTCCCAAGGTGGTTAAATGCTGTGCTCTCGTTGTCTTGAAACTAATACTAGTTTTATCTTTGTACCTGACTTTTAAAAGTGAGTTCCATAAGTAGGAAGAACAAGCGCCTGAGCAGAGAGATATGTAGGCAGCAGGACTCAGACAGGAACACATGCAGACTCAGGTTCTGGTTCACAGCAGGCTGTGTGTGAGCTGACAGTTGGCAGGGCCACCTGTGGTGTCTGTGCCTGCTTTGGACTAGCTGGGGCTTTGACATGCAGCCAAGGGTGAAGTAAGTATTGTTGGGAAATTACTACAAATTGAAAGTGTATATCTGGACATTTGAAAAAGGCAGTTTGGCAGTTTTTTACAGACCTAAACATACTCTTACCATATTGTCCAGCAATGGCCTTCCATTGTATTTATCCAAAGGGTTTGAAAAGTTATGTGTACACACAGACTTGTACACAGGTGTTTTATAGAGGTTTTATTCATAATTACCAACCTTGGAAGTAAGCAACATGTCTTTCAATAAGTGAATGAATAAGTAAATTGTGGTACATCCAAACAATGGAATATGATTTGGTGCAAGAAAGAAATGAGGTATGAAGCCATGAAGAGATAGGCGAAAGTTGTATGCATTTTACTAAGTAAAAACAACCCATCTGAAAAGGCTACAAGGTATGATTTAGACTCTATGGCTTTCTGGAAAAGACAAAACTCTGGAGGGAGTAAAAGATTGTTGTTGCCAAGGGTTGAGGGGGACAAGAGGTATCAGTATAGTTCAGAGCATGTTTAATGTAATGACTTACTCTCTATGATACTGCAATGGTGGATACATATTTTACACATTTGTTCAAACCCATAGAACCTACAACAGCAAGAATGAACTCTAGATAAACTGTGGGCTTTGGGTCACATGATGTGGCAGCATAGGGTCTTCCACTGTGAAAAGGTCATGGGAAAGGTGATAATGGGAAGGTGATACCTGTGTGGGGTCAGAAGGTATACAGGATACCTCAGCACAATGTCCTCCTTTTTCTTTGAACCTGGTTGTGATGGTTGAAAAGAAGAAAATCTTTAAAAAATTAAATTGGGAGACATGAAAATAATATGAATGAAGAGTTAAAGCATTTTAGATAAATGACTCCCCTAGAAACATTACCTAATGATATATTTTAACCTAATTTTTGAATTATGTTCCCAAGTTTTCATTTTGAGATGATCTCAAAAATTGTAGAGGTGTCCCTGGTTGGAAATTTTGAAACTCTGAACTAAGGATTCAAAGAGAAAGCCAGAATCCATAAAACAATTAGGCTGTTTTAAAAAGTGCATCTCACTTTCTATATTAGTCAGCTAATCCACCTCCCCTAGGTTGTCTCAACTGCAGAGATTCTTTCTTTTTTCATACAGTACATAAGTTATATGTAAAAGATATTTGTAAGAAATTGAAATTCCTAAAGAACTTCCTGCTTACCTATGGCTCAGGTCATAGTGCACCCTCATCTCAGTGCCTCTAAAGGACTCCACTCAGTGAATAAATTCCCATTTTATTCAATGTTAATTTGGATTTATTTCTCCTTGATACATTAGTGATCTCAGAGAAGAAATGAAAACCCAGATAGTGATCTCAGAGAAGAAACGAAAACCCAAGTAGGATCTCATCTCATCTCATCCTGCTGAAGAGCCCTCGGGGTGGGTTAGGATCAACCTCAGACCCACTAGATCACATGTGGTCATGAAAATGGTCCTGGGGTTCCATGATGCAGGCAATTTCACCCAATATAACACCAGTCCACATTGCACACAACCAGTCACCAATAAATATTTGCTTTGTTATATAGCAGAGAAGAATTTAAGAGCTAGAAGGGTCCTTAGAAATTCTTGAATCTAACTTTATTTTACACATCTTGACTGTTTCCAAGATGACTGTATGGAAAAATTAGGTAGTGAATGAGCTGGAGGAGAAAGACACTGGGTTTCCTAATTTCCTCTTTAGCATTCATTCCCCTGCCTCCTATCCTGTGTGCACTGGTGGGAGGCCACAGGGTGGGATGATGTGTGGGTGAGAGACTGAGTGTTATGTGTGCTCATGGACCATTTGTGAGGGTTTGCAGGCAGGCCATCTCCAGTGGGTCACGGGCAGATTCCTAAAGGAGGCTGTGCCATGGTGTGTAGGGTCCATGCTGTTTTACTGCCCTCCAAGAGCCCTGGGTGCTGTTCTGCTAGGAGGACCCCACTCCCTAGTGGCAGTACAGGTCAAGTATTCTGGATGGGGCTAGAAAGAGGTCCCTCTTTGGGAGCATCCTCCAGACCTGGAGCAGCATATGTTCACTCACATATTCCCACGTCCCTCTATGGGGAAATCACAGGCTGGAAGGTTCCTCTTGGTTGGGAGCTGTGCCATGTGCAGGGGTGAAGAAGGATAGTGAAATTGTTCTTCGTGCCATCCTTAATATGTCAAAATCATATTTTTTGTTGTTGTTGTTCCACAGTGTTCTATGTGTTCTCTGCTGGACTTTTTCATAGGTACTCTTTTTAGTTTAATGTATGATTTTGAAAATCAGTAGTCTTGGGGAGGGGTGGAGATGGTAGAAAATTTCTATTTTGCCATTTTGATCTCAGTGTTTGAATTTTTTATTTTAAAATAATTATTAGGAAAATGGACTATTTTTGTTGTGCAGTTCTGTGAATTTTGAATTTTTGTACATTGTATAGATCATGTAATGATACAAGATCATGACACAGAATAGTATCATTACCCCCCATAACTCCCTTGAGCTAGTCTAATGCTATCTCACATTTCCATATTCCCCACTCCTTGCAAACATTGGTCTATTCTTATTGTGTGTTTTTAAAAAGGTCAGAATGATGGGAGCATACAACCCATAGTCTTTTGAGTACTGTGTGCCTTGGTGGGAGGAAGCACATGCCACAGGGCACAGGTATGACCTCACCCTTGTCACCTGTCTCAGTGCTTCCTACCCCTGAGGTTTTGAACTTTGAAGTTATTTTCATAGGAATAGTTCATCATTTCAAGTGTTTGAATTACTTTAGACAGTTGATTTATAGTTCTATAAAATATATTTAGCAATTGATAATGCAGAATTGGTGTTGAAGTTTGGATCATCTCATATAATCAAGTGGAGTCATGTTCTGTATACAAGTTCTGTATACAAACTCCATTCTAAATTTTTATCAATAGATACTTTCTCATATTTTGAGAGTAATTTCATTAACGAAGGTTCATTCTAGCCATACCCATTAGAGTATGATTATTATTTGGCTTTTCCAGGAATTGATATGAAATAACATATCCAAAAATTCTTACACTTGTAGCATTCACAACATCTGTGCAGAGCTGAACTATAGCAATAGGGTGGGTATTGTGTCAAATAAAGGCCATACCCATGCAAGTTATTTTATTAGTAAGAGAACAAAATCAGAATAATCAGAAACACATAATATTTTACCATTAAAGTGGGAAAGTACCTCTAAAGGGATAAAAATAACCTGAAAATTTCCATCCACCTCATCACAAATGCAAGATTTCATTTTTTTGATGGTTGCATAGTATTACATTGCATATATGCACCACCTCTTCATCATTCATTCATCTGTTGATGGACATCTAGATTCTTTCTATAGTTTGCCTGTTGTGGACATTGCTGCTATAAACATTGGGGTGCAGGTGCCCCTTCGGATCACTACATTTGTATCTTTGGGGTAAATACCTAGGAGTGCAATTGCTGGGTAATAGGGTATCTCTATTTTCAACTATTTGAGGAACCTCTGTTTTCCAGAGTGGCTGCACCAGCTTGCATTCCTACCAGCAGTATAGGAGGATTCCCTTTCTGTGCATCTTTGCCAACATCTGTCATTTCCTGACTTGTTAATTTTAGCCATTCTGACTGGTGTGAGATGCTATCTCATTGTGGTTTTGATTTGTATTTCCCTGATGCTGAGTGATGGTGAGCATTTTTTTGAGTGTCTGTTGGCCATTTGTATCTCTTCTTTGGAGAAATTTCTGTTCATGTCTTCTGTCCATTTCTTGACTGGATTATATGTTCTTGGTTGTTGTGTTCGATAAGTTCTTTATAGATTTTGAATACTAACCCTTTATTTGATATGTCATTTGCAAAAGTCTTCCCCCATTCTGTAGGTTGCCTTTTGGTTTTGTTGACTGTTTCTTTCACTGTGCAAAAGCTTTTCATCTTGATGAAGTCCCAATAGTTCATTTTTGCCCTTGCTTCCCTTGCCTTTAGAGACTTGTCTAGTCAGAATTTTCTGGGCTGAGGTCAAAGAGATTGCTGCCTGTGTTCTCCTCAAGGATTTTGATGGATTCCTGTCTCAAATTTAGGTTTTTCATCCATGTTGTGTCTATTTTTGTGTGTAGGGTAAGGAAATTGTCCAGTTTCATTTTTCTGTGTATGGCTGCCCAATTTTCCCAACACCATTTGTTGAAAGACTGTCTTTTTTCCATTGGATGTTCTTTCCTGCTTTGTCAAAAGTTAGTTGACCATAGAGTTGAGGTTCTATTTCTGGGCTTTCTATTCTGTTCCATTGATCTATGTGTCTGTTTTTGTGCCAGTACCATACTGTCTTGATGATTAGAGCTTTGTAACAGAGCTTGAGGTCAGGAATTTTGATGCTCTCAGTTTTGGTTTTCTTGTTCAACTTTTCTTTGGCTATTACAGGTCTTTTCTGGTGCCATACAAATTTTAGGATTGTTTATTCCAGCTTCGTGAAAATGGTGATGGTATTTTGTTAGTGATTGCATTGACTGTATAGCTTTCTCTGGGAAGTGTAG